AATGAGAAAACATTACGCCCAAGGTAAAGAGGTCTATTACTCTGTCTTCTGATTTACAACTGTTAAACAAAGAAATGATACTCTAGGGAATGACATGTCTGAAATGGGGAAAACATTGCGCCCAAGGTAAAGACATCTATTCATTGTATATGTATAGTCATGTTCCTCCCAATGGAATCTCTAAAACCTTACTAAGACCTTTGACGAATATTTACTTGCTCGTGCGCCATACAGTGTAAAGAGTTCGAGGAAGATGGCTCTCCATTCGATAAAGTAAAGTCCAAAGCACATGCCATTCGTATCTGGCATCCTCCACGAATGTAGTCCAGAAGACTAAAGATTCGATCAACATGGCAGCTAAGGACTCGTATTAAACCTGAACTGGATGGACGTTTGCTGCTTTTGCCTGGCTTCGTTGGTTTTATGAGGTTTAAAATTTTAACTTTTCTGCAACAAGAAAAAAAACAAACGAGCTTCAGTATTTCTTGTATACCTGAGCTAAGTGCGGTAATCTTATTAAATAAATAAATTTTCTGCACTACAATCGTCCGTTTACTTTAAAATTTCCGTTTTGCCTTGTTCCTTTCCGTTATTCCTAACACACATGCATGCATTTGAAGATCATTATTCTTGCGAAGCTGGAATTCTTGGGGTGCATGTTACGTCATATAGCCGCCATGTTGGTTGACGATAGCAAAACATTCCTCATTAGCTTCTCTTGTTAGTAGATTTTCCAAACATGGCGGCTGTTTTCTTTTGCTCATATCGCAAGGAATTTTGAGTCATGTGGTTGCATCCCAATAATATTTATTTCCGGGCAAGTTACACAAAGATTATCATTACGGGCAGCAAAACTGTTCCGATCTGTCGTTACTGTTACGCGCTCAACAAACGTTTTCGTTGACGAGTGCTGCTTCCTACTTTAAAGAACATTTCAAGAGTGCGAACGTTATGCTAGCAATGAATTTACACCACAGCTCACAACGCAACAATATATATTGCTCGCATTTGTTTATACTTTTGTTCATCGTAATATCGCATCTTYGTTATATAGCTACGAAATTTTCCGATATAACGAACACTCTCATTGGTTGAGAGATGACCACGTGACACTAGTTAAATCTAAATGTATCCCGACCGGTAAATAAGTTGCACATGACAATAATCATAAAAATAAACAAGTGCACGTGATCAGAACGTGAAAATCGCTGGTGGCGTGATATTTTGCACCAATCAAGAACAACAGAGCGGGAGCAGATATGTTGCTTGAATTTTCAGTACAAATGGAGCTCGAAGCGTAAACTCGCTTCTCAATATTTCTCAGTTGCTATATAACAAAACACTTAATGTCTGGTCCATCGTGAAATTAGTTAGTTTTGTTTTCCCTCGAGTCTCGATGTTTCACGAGGCGAAGACTGTCCTACGGCAACTTTACAATTTCAAATGAATTGATGGGTTGCAAGCATTCCCAAGAGAGCTTAAAGACAAAAGCATGGCGGCCATCGTGGTGCCGTTAACAATGGATGCTAATGAGAAATCTTTTGTTAAATGGCACCAACATGGCCGCGATGACGTAACGTGCAATCGAAGAATATAAATTGGAGAGGGAGCGTTGCCTTTCACTCAAATACTGTTCCTTACCTTCCTAAGACTTCACTGATGTCAAACTTGCATCGTCCAATCAAAGTGTGCGCACCGTTACTGGAATAATGCCAGCATGAGATTTGCGCTTCCTTTTTGACATCTTCGTTGCAAAGCTTTTGTAGATACAACTCGAATGGAGCCCACCTGTTCAAATAGACCAAGAAATTAGTTATTGAATGCATGTTCAATGTACTGCTGCAATGCGCGCACTATAGCAGTTTTCGTACTATTAAAAGCTCACGGCAGAAACACATTCGTGACACGGCAAGGCATACGCAAAACCAAACACATTGCTGTGATCAAATAATCAAATCATATAATCAAATACCCGGAACACGGCATCAGCTTGCACGGACACGGTCACGCCAAGGTCACGGCACTGCCAGACCAATCACATTAATTGCGCGAGAAGAAATCAGCCAATTAAAATCCTAGAAAATATTACGGTCAGGGCACGGCACGYTTACGGCACTGAGCTTTTCACAGTCATGCGAAATGATGGTGACGGAAGATAGAGGCAAACATGGATGGATGAATATATTTGTAACCTTACATCTGGCACAACTTACTTTGGATCCTGGGTTCGCGTGACTATCTCAGAGCGGTACACAGGATGAAAATGGCCACTTTGAAGAAGGCGTTCTACCGCAAAAAATGCGTCGCATTTGCTTAGAAAACCTGGCCGTTGTAGATTCTCTCCTCTCATTTGAACCCTGACATTTGTCATGCTCGTCACGACATCCTCGAAAAAGATATTTATAAATCCACGCGTCGTGATATCTCCAGGGATTCTCAGTGTTCTAACGAGCGGTGATTCTGATGTCAGAAGAGTTCCAAAATCCACCTCGACTGAGCCAATGAAATCGTGCTTACGAAGGTCCTTTGATGTGAAGTTGGCCAAGTCGTAAAGAGAGAAACGCAGACGTGGATACATGAGCGGACAGCCATCGATGATGAAAGATTCCACAAACTAAGAGAAAAATATTAGGAATCGGTGCATTCATTACTTCTGTGGCCACTCAAAGCTCACGGAAGAAAGACTTGTGCGAATCACTAAGGCTTAGGTCAAGCGTCGAACTTCGCATGAGCCGAACCTAATCGAAACAATGGATAACAAGGCGGCCTTCTTTGATGTCATTAGGTTGGGCTCATGCGAAGTTCGACTTTTGACCTTATTCTAGTTTGTGAATTGTAAAGTAAATGCATGCTTGGTTTATTTTACTGCATGCACTATCGTGAATAGCACATATGATGCAGCTAGCTGTGGTATGCTTGCAGAGTTTACAGCGAGGACACTCTAACCATGAACACTTTGTGCTTTTTTACTACTTTTTTTAACATGCATCCCTGGAGTGAATCATTTAGAAATAAGTTGTCCTTGATCACATAGCATATTTGAGTTCAATCCTACTTTATTAGAGGGTTTGAAGCAGAAAAAAGCTTAGAAAATAAAAATCTGAATAAAGTCAAGTGTTCATGGCTCAAGTGTCTTCACTGTAATGAACAACCACAAAATGAAGGAAACCACGAACTTTTTTGTTTTAATTTCATGAGACATACACACTCGAGATCTGACAAAAACTCTTTTCTCCAAGGAAACGCATGTCTGTTTTTACCGGCTGTTCGCCCTTCGCCTGTCGTGAACTCTTGTCGTTAATCATCATTAATTAAGCAAACAAGACAATGTTTACGTATCACACGAGTTTCTCGAAAAAAAAAATGACACCCGCTCTCTTGTATTATTATCTACAAAAAGGTTTTCTTTAAATTGTCAAATCTTAGTCTTTTGGGAACGTTAATGAATTGCCGGCCCTTCGGGCTGTCTTACTCAACGAAAAGAGTGAGAAAAAAGCTAAAACTAGTTGATGATTAAAGGACTGATCAACTGAAAGGACTTTTTATCTTGTTCGTCATTAGATAATGCAAAACAGCGTTAATTATACCTCTTGCTTCACTGTCGTGCCACTCGAGTTACCGTCTACAATTCACCATATTTTATCTCTTTTTTTGTTGGGTTTTCTTTTGTTCAGGAGTGAAATTTTGTGCGACTTTTGATCAGTAGACCGCAACCTTGGACATCATGAAAACAAGCGCTTAATTAAAGTCTATTCTAGAGTCATTCAGGCYTATTGTAATCGCTTCAAATCTTGCATATAATGTGTTTTAGATTAGCGTGAATTTTATTGTACCAAATTACAACTTAATAAACTTCGCTATAAAATGAAGCCAATGGTTTAACTCTCAAAAGAATTTCATCAATGGCAAAAAGAAGCCGTTTTTAGGGCATCTAAATGGCTTTAGTTGCAATGTTTATTTACTTTTCGAGTAATCTCTAGTTTTGTCAGGCAGACAGGTGAAGAAAGCTTTCATTCATATTCTTAAGAACTAAAACTTTCGCGACATGTCCGCTTACTTACCTTTGGATTCAAGTTATTTGGCAATGATTCTGTCCTTCCATATTCAGTCCAGTTGCCAAGCTTCTTAACGTGAAGAACGCACAAGGGATCGCTCTTGGAGAACTTTTCCAATTGAATCAAATCATTACATTCAATAAAGATTTCTATTTTTCGTCTGCTTTGAAACGCGCTCGTGTTTTTGGAGAAACTACCTTGGTAGACTGAGTTTGGTGCTGGCCGGTCAACTGTTCCAACTTTTGCCATCGATCTACTTGTCAAGGATCGATCTCGTGCTAAGGTGAACTACTTCGCAGTAGAGTACACGCAGTTTGATGTTGACTTTAACAAGGGGTTTATACGCCGAATATGTTTAAAGTCCTAATAATTTTGTAGCTGTGTCGTCGCCTGGAAACACGTCACTACATGATGATGATCATCAGAAAACAGAAGATTAATCGGGTTTTTGCATACATCCTCTGGAATCTTTCTTGTTCGTTCCGTTGTCGATATTTAATCTTGATAGTTTGCGTATAATTACCCCTTAAGAAGTTTTCAAAACAACAGTACAGTCAGTATATCTTTTGGCTTCTCACAGTCGCCATGTGGCAAGGTGATGYCTGTGGTCTTAGATGTACCAACGGAATGCACTTTATATTTCAACGCGCCATAATCACCATCTTAGACACCAACAGGACATACTTGATTATAAGTGATATATAAGTAGTACTAAAATTCTTAAGATGAGTCRGGGACTTAGATTTGCAAGTCAAATAATGTAAACATGTAATTATTAGCCGGCACTTGTTTGTATACTCTTCGTTACCATGACAACGTCTGTATAGTCGTGATGTACAGCGGTCGCATGCAAACAAAAGGAAGCTCGCAATAGCTTGTTATCTTGCTCTTGATTGCGACTAGCCTCCCTCCGGTCCGGTCTGGAAATACTCCTGATATTCATTGTCTTGGATTGGGCTTTCTAATCTGAAACATAGAGTTGCTTTCGGAAGAGGCTACATGGTCACCTCACACGCATTCAATATTCTCTTTTCTTATATATCATCGTAATCATCAATTCAATTTTTTTCTTTATTGTTTTCTTGTAACATTGTGTGTGAAGAATAAAGTCTAAAGTCTATGTAATGTTTAATAAACGAGCAGGAGTGTTTTATCGGGTATAAAACACGAGGCGCAGCCGGCTTAAAAAACTCATGATGTAATTCGAATTCTCGTACGAAATGAACCAAGTTTGATAGAGAAAATCCAAGTTAAAGTTTATGCAAATGAAGACGAATCTATATCAGATATTAAAACCTCCTTAACGGTCATAATTTCTATTGTGTTTCCTTCATGATTATTAATGAGTTTTAAAGTAAAGTCTGAATTTTACAAGTCATTCTTGAAAGACGACTGCCTTCATGTACACTCTCCAGGGAAGACAGGAAAGAAATGAGTGAAAATTACTACCTTATAATACCATTCCCAATATTCATGAAAAAACTCCATCTCTTCCTTTCGTTTTCCCAGTTTTTCCTTGGTAGGGACTGATTTATGGCAATGAGAATTCTGTGTTTTCGCTTTCCGTTTAGCTTCTCCTCACCTTACCCGCTCCACTTTTCGCGGGTCAAGCGATCGGCGTTGAACTCGGAATAGACAGACTGTTAACACTTTAATGCACTATTAAATTAAGACGCCAACCCCAGACCGGCGGAAGGGAGGGGAATTTAAGTTCATGTAGTGTTTTTAAGTTTAGCGCTTTACCCGGTCACCTCCAGCGATAATCCAAAATGGCGACCAACCGCTTTGTTGCTGTTACCGGGAAAAAATGTGTCTTTTATCTTTTTTTCTTTCTTTCTTTTTTTGAAAGAATCACCTGTGTATTTATACTAAAACAATTATTCACTTCAGGCTCAGTGAATATCGGTAATAATAACCTCAACTTCGTTTCGCTTATTCCCCGATATTCACTTCGTCTTCGGCGAATAATTGTTAATTAATGCGTGTGAAATTCTGCGCCCTGTCATGGGGTCCTGGATCGAAAGGCGGGGATTCAATTCACTTGTGTATAAATAAACCGGCTCTTATGATGTCAATATGCTAGAGTGCATTCAGTCAAATTGTTGAATGGTGTACGTCACCCAAATTAGATAAGTTAGTTACTATTTTAGCTGACATCACATAAATTTGAAACTACGAGTAAACAGCTACTGAGATCAGGGGGATAAACGATGATACAAATGAATGTCTATTCACTCATTCTCTGGTAAAACTACCCCCCGGATTAGCATGACTGTTATTTGGTGCGCTTTTACTATTTTAGGTGACGCCAACTAAATAGTTATCTAAGTTAGATAAATTTATCTAACTATTTCAACAGTTTGACTGATTGCACTCTAAGGACAACTCCTTCAACCCAAGGTATCTTTTAAGGATAGGTTCTAGTACGTAGGACAATAGAATCAGCGATGCTTTGTTTCTAATGAGACAATGAATAGCTCCTGTATCCATCGTGTCTAGACGTCCGTTCACGTGTCACGCAAACTGTATTCTTTTCTCATTCAACGCACATAAAAGTACTACCATTTTCTAAAATGATTAGCTTTTCATCAAAATTCCAATATTCTGGTCTTCCTGTGCAATATCCACAATGCTTTGCAAGAAGACTCCTTCCCAGTTTCCTCGGTTTTGTAGATCACGTGATCAGTTCAGCCGCGCGAAGAGTATTATGGTCTATGGGTATCATTTGCATATTTTTGTCTCTGTTCGGTTGTTGCGCCATTTGACTTCAGTTGGACGTCTTTCCCGCTTTCAAAAATACTCAAAAACTCCTTAAAGACAAAACCTCAGAGGCAGTTATTCCAGTACAGTAATACATGACCTCCATGTTGGCAAAGTTTGGGGTTTGTCGGATCAAATGCGGTCGAGTTTGAAGGCAATACATGTGGCTTTAATGCTCTCGTTTGAAGTGAAGAAATTTTCGTGTTTTTAATGGTACAGTAACTGCTGTTAAAGAGTATAATTTCTATCCTGGATATCACTAAGATGGAGAAAGATACGTGCCGATAGGAATGGTGGACTTCCACATAGGGAAACGACTTGAGTATAAAAGCGAAAGTTCAGTTGACCGACTGGATCGCTGCATGTGACTGGGCTAAATTTACCTCAGCAAACTCGGAAAAAATTCAACACTTTACAGTGTTTCTTCGAATATTTTTATCTTTGAAAATCACGAGAAAGGTTATTCTTTCTTGACCATTGGAACTTAACTAATAAATTAGCAGTATTACAGGAGCAGACAAAATGTTTTGGAAATTTGACTTGCATCCTTCCACTGCAATAGATTCTATTCTGGCAAAAGAGGTAAGAAATTGTACAGATCTGTGAAAAAATTATCACTTAAGCCATGAAATTTGCTGATAATTTCACTGATAACATGAAACATGATGAGGTAGTATTCTTGTTCATTAATTTGCCTGAGGATATTTTATTTGAAATTTTAGGATTGCACTTTAAACGAAATACTTGATGAAGACGACGTTATTCAAGAGACCAAGTCGCAAAATAGAAAGCTGGTCGACTTGTGAGTATATAAAAATTTCCCTGGTGATAAAAATAATCATAACAGATCGACAGAATAACGACAGAAGCATCACGATATTTATTCCCTTGCCATATAACTTGATTCTTGATTAGCTTTTCAGGGGCCGACTTATAACAATAATATAAAAATATTACCCAACTTTGAATAATTTCGTCTAATTATTTTCATGTTGTTTAACAAAAATATTATTTGCAATCAGATTTTTCATAACCCAACAAATTATAATAGTGCTGTCAATCGAAGTTTTCAAATTAGGAATTTTTTTTTTTTGTATGTGTTTTCTCAATGTGTTATATTGTACTATATGTTAAAATTGTTCCAGCAATTAGTTTCCTTACGCTGTACGTCCAACTGGTATTGATTCAGGAAAAGTCAAAAAAAAGAAAAAAAAAATTAGCATGTTTTCTGTAATGTTAATTTTATAGAGGCGAGATAGTGATAGTGCTTAAGTTTAAGAGTATTTATTTGAAGATATTTAAAAATAAAGTTCTGAGGTGATTGTACAATTTACACCATAGAGACATTTCCTAGTTAAAATCAGCTGAGTTGACATCCATTACTTTGCACTTAAAATATTTTGATTAGCAGGAGTTCCACAAGAGATTTCCATGAATGCAGGTTCTAGTTTTTAATCCCAAAGTTTATTCATTCAATCAGAATTTATTCAAAACAAAATTACAATGAAAGACAACATTTCAAAATTTCCATTTGATGACAGAGTCCATAGATTATTAGCTGCAAGGCTGTCTTACATAATCCTTGCAATGCAAAGACTACTGAGATTTTAATGCATATCTTCTCTACTGGGCCCTTCAATTTGTTATACACATTTATTCACAATTCGCACATTTTACTTGCAATACAAAGACTGCTGATTTTAATGTATATCTTCTTTACTGGTCCCTTCAATTTATTACACACATTATTCACAATTCGCACATTTTAATTACAACACAAAGACTGCTGATTTTAATGTATATCTTCTTTACTGGTCCCTTCAATTTATCATACACATTTATTCACAATTCCCACATTTTACTTGCAATACGAAGACTACTGAGATTTTAATGCATATATTCTCTACTGCTTCCTTCAATATATTATACACATTTATTCACGATTCACACATTTTATGTACTTGCAATACGAAGACCTCTGATTTTAATGCATATCTTCTTTACTGGCTCCTTCAATTTATTATACACATTTATTCCCAGCAGTACACAGTTGTTTAAGCGGCACAAAAGTTACCTGTCGTATTAGCATATCATGTGTCATATAAGACTAGACAAGGACTTGTTTCCATTGCAGGCAGCAGATATAATTTTCATACAGGAAGTGAAAAATTAGAAAAATTATTGTTGGTTCCTGGTCAAATACGACCCTAATAGTACTTGGAACTTCTTTTAATATTTTCTAAGCCTTACTAATAACAATATCCACATTATTATTACATCTTAGACATTTCAAGAATATTTTTTCTTATAAGTGTACAATACGATGCTCATTAGCACATTCGTAGCTATTATAGATATCAAAAGAGACAAGATGTAGAATTTATCATAACTTATTTACATAGAGAATTAGCTCAGAGACTGTTTTAGGCTCAATTAAAGTTGATTCTTTTTTTAATCACCAATAATACCCAGATTCGATTCCTGGACTCCATGTCGTACGTAAGTAGAGTTTCTAGTTGGTTCTATCCTACGGTTGAAGGGTTTTTCTCAGGTTTTCATGTGAATTGAGTTAGATGTGTTGTTCTCCTATGCTACAGGTTTCTCCGGGTTCTCTGATTTCCTCCCTCTGTAAAAATCAACATGTGAGTTGAGCGTTGTGTGCATAGAATATTGAATGCAGGGTAAACAAATGCAGTGCTAGTGTGTGTGAGTGAAAAGTGTCCCCAATGAGTGTCAAAGCACTAGAATGACTAGACAAATAAATACATTTATTAATTTATTTTTATTACAAAAATTAACTTCTAATTTCCAAGGGTCAGTTAACCAATTCTGGCTTTGTTATCCACTGGCTGTGTGTTACCTTCATAAAACAATGGCGGTTTTATTTATTTATATTCTATTTCAATTCTAATTCAAAGAAAAAGTCTAAGATGAGAAATAATGTGTTATATTTAGCACTTTATATATCTTGACTCTTTGCACTGTGATTGGTTGATTCGTGTGAAAACATAGTGTCAGCATTACTGCATACTCTTTACTGTGCACTTGATATTATGGTGCTTACTCAAATGTGAAAAGTACCAGGAAATGTTTTCCTTTTATTGTTGAATAATTGATTTTAGTGCAGATGTTTATAAAGAAGATTTAAGACTTAAATTTCTTAAAATTGATAAAACTTGTTTTTTTGCTTCGTATTATTTCTTAAACATTTTTTTTCTTCCAAGCAATTATAGATCTATGGTGGCCCACAAGGGCAATACAAAAATATCAAACACAGTACAAATATATTAATGTCAGTACTGGGAAATATTTTTGTTTTGTGAAATATTTTTGTACTGGGAAATATTTTTGTACTGAGAAATATTTTTGTAATGGGAAATATTTTTGTGCTGAGAAATAATTTTGTACTGGGAAATATTTTTGTACTGGGAAATATTTTTGTACTGGGAAATATTTTTGTACTGGGAAATATTTTTGTACTGGGAAATAATTTTGTACTCAGAATTATATTTTGGTGTTGGGAAATATTTTTACTGTCTGGCATATATATATGTGTGCTGAAATACACATTCTTGTACTGACATTAGTATATTTGTAGTGTGTTTGATATTTTTGTATTGCCCTTGTGGGCCACCGTATAGATCAGCTCTGTTTTTTTCGGGAAGTCTAGGCATTTTAATATTGAGGATTTTCATGTAAAACTGATAAGAAATATCAAACTCTTTTTTTGAATAACTTATCTTCATGACCAGCATAGTTTTTTTGTTATTTTAACATCTACAGTACATCGATCTCATTTGTTTTGATTACAAAACAGCCACATGTTTGATCTCAGTCAGGGCATGACTAACATAAATTAACGCAATAGATTTTAGAGAAAATAATACGAAAGAACACCTAGGAAGCTTTGAAATAACAAGGGATTAGTAAGAATAACTTTTCTTTTAACATTGATTGTCAAAATATGCTTTAGAAATAATTATATTATATAACGTATAAAAATGATATATTATATGTATAGTTACATAT